CATTCTGTTTTGAAGTCCTTCCAGAGCTTGTTTTATTTCTGTATTCTCCTTCCTTAGTTCTTGCATATTTCTCTGCAAGTCCATCAGCATGGTTATGACTTTTGTTTTGAATTCTTTTTCAGGAAGACTGGTTAAATCTATCTCCCCAGGTTCCTTCTCAGGGGAAGATGTAGCAGATGCCGAAGCTGTCTGGGTTAGTCTTGTCCAGATCATATTTTTTGCCTTTTCATGTTGACAGGTGCTATTGACTGTCAGCTGGGGGGGCCAAACTTTTCACTTGCTACTGGCCTTTCTTTACTGGGATAACTGCGACCCCTAGTGGCCTGTGTTGGGCAATTGCGTGTAGACTGGGTCTGTGTCTTGCCGGGCTGGTATGGAGGAAGCTCCCTTGCTGTGGGCGTGGCCAGCCTCAGGCTGCTTCTGTGCTATGGCTGCTCCCTGGAGGGGTAATGGACAGGGGGGCTGTTTCGCTGTTTACCTCCCTGAGGGTCTCAGAGCTGTTGCCTAGGGGGTTAGTGTGCCCAGGTTTCCCTGAAATTTCCAGGTGCTGGGCTGTGACCTGGGTTATTTCTGTCCAGCTGTTGCGTCCCTGTCCGTTTAAGACTTTCAAAAAGCACTCGCTTTTCTTTGTCACAGGGGCATCAGCTTCGGGACCCGCTCAGAGGTCTTGCTGCTCTGTTTCCCTAGTTTCCAGCCCTCCACGCATGCACTGTGTCTGTGCTCTGGTGAGGATGGCTGGGGCTGGGTGTTTAGCAGTCCTGGGCTCCCTCTCCTTCCCACCGGGAACTGGGGGGTGGTGTGCTCGAGTCCTGCCGGGCCAGGGGTTGTATCTTACCCCTTTCACCAGGCGCTGGGCTCTCGCACATGTGGATGTAGTCTGACTGTTGTCCTCTGTCTTCTGGTCTCTGTTTTAGGATTAGTTGTATTTGTTGTATTTTCAAAAATATATATGTTTTTTGGGAGGACATTCCCACTGTCCTACTCATGCCACCATGTTGGCTCCGACCGCCATTTGTCTTTTTAAACGGAAGATCAGAAAACAATTTATTGGCATTTAAAAATTTTTGAGAATCGTATTGTGAGACTTCAAATTTTTATGGTCTAGGCATTAGTATGATCTAGAATTATATACAAATACACTTGTGATTTTTGTCATAATGTAGTGGGACTAAAAGAATTTCATAGAGCATCTTTCATAGAGCCTGCTGTTGACTCTGGTCCTTTGAGTCTGACTTCAATAAGTGGCTTAAAAACTAGCTATACTGTATATGTGTGCATAATAAGTATAGGCTTATTGCTTGACATGAATTTAGATGTAGATTTCTAACCACTCCTTTTGTTTATTTGCAGTCTGAGTCAGGTCCTAGAACCTTAGAACCTGACTGAAAATTAATAAGTATAAATAAAGGTATTTTAAAAATGCCTTTTATTTTTTATGTCAAGATAAACATTTATTGGAACATACTAATAAGTCACATATTCTACTCTTCTAAGATAATTATCACAGCTTTACCATCTTTTTGTATTGATTTATAAACTCCCTTTTCTTTCCACTTAGTATTTTATAGACTTTTTCCCCTTCATTAAATATTTTGATTAGCTCTCTTGGTTTTTCCACATGTGGACATACCACAATTCATTTAGCCTACCCATTTTGGACATTTAGATTATTTCCAGTTTTTCACAATACAAACAGAAATGAGTAATCATCTGGTGACTGACCATTTTCAGTTCCAGGGAGCAGGAAATAATAATTGAGTTGTTTTCATAATATAGTAGAAATGGCAACATATGTTTTATGAAACAGTAAGTCTTAAATTGGATGATATATGCCAGAATACCAACAAACTATTTTTGTAAAGTGCCAGATAGTATTTTAGGCCTTGCAAGCTATATGCTGTCTTTTACGCTACTCAGCTTTGTCATTATAGTGGGGAAGCAGCCAGAGACAATGTGAAAATGAATAATGATGGCTGTGTTGCATTGAAACTTTATAAAAAACAGGTCAGATTTCTCTCATGGGCCTTTGCTGGCCCCAAGTATAAATTATCAAGAGTTAAGAGGAGAAAGGAAATTAGAACTTACTGGTTGGTGGGCCTTCGTGTACATGCAGCATGAAAGGATTTTTCTACTTGTGTCTGAGGTGTAATTATTCAAATTTCCAAACTGTTTTTCATTGAAATGTGATAAACTTTTCCTATTGTAACCCTTTTAGCCAAGAAAACCATGTGGGAAAGACTGACAGCCCCTGAAGATGTATTTAGTAAATTACAGCGAGAAAACATAGCTATCATTGAGAGCTACGGCGCTGCCCTCATGGAAGTGGTCTGTCGAGACGCTTGTGATGGTCATGAGATTGGAAGGGTATAGTATTTCCTGTTAAGTAGTATAACTGAATAAGTAGTTTGACTTCTGAAAGTATAAATTTTCAAATGTATGTTAGATATGAGAATTATTTTCTGTAAAGTCTTTTAGTGAGTTTGCTCATTTGCTATAATTTCGAATTCTGTTTTGTTTATTCATATATTTTAATTCTGTTCAAAATCTCAGTTCAGAATTTTCCCTCAGAATAATCTTTCTGCTGTTTTTAAGGTCATCCTTATACTGGTAGAAACAACAGAGATGCTGCTTAATAAAGCTCTTTCGTTAAGAGAATTCTGTGTTAACAGATTTTATACTAAATATATCTTTCTCTGCTTTATGGAGAATTTTCATTTGTATTTCTTTGAATACTATGATAATGCAATGAGAAAGTGACTTTGGACTGGTGGAAAATAAAACAACATTTGAATCATGTTTTTGAAGATCATGGGAAACAGGATTTTTAAAAATAGGGTAAAATATAAACTGTGTAGTAAATTCTTGGTTATGTTAGAAAAATATTTGAAGGGTTTTTGTGCATTGAAAGAAGACTGGGAGGAGATAGATCAAAATTAACTGTGTTTAGACTATGTATATTCTATATACTTTTCTATGTTTTTTGTAATGAGCATTTAAAGCTTTGTAATTAGGGAAAAAAGCTATTTTTAAAAACCTTTTCCTCCAACCAGTAATATTTAGATTCTGAAAAACATATTTAATGCCACTGTTTTAATATTTAGGGTTTTGTTTCAGAAATATGACCTGAAAATTTTCCTTTTGTTAATCAAGGTTTTGGATACATAGCTTTCAATTTCTCTATAAAGGAAAATAAGAAAGTTTCATTGCAACTATCCTCCTTATAAGAAAAGTTCTGAATATTTCCAGATAAAAGCAGTTCCTTTCATTGATTTTGGTAGCCACCTTCGTGTTTTGGACTTGAATTTATTCTTTCTTCAGATGCTGGCACTGGCGCTACTTGATCGGATTGTCTCTGTAGATAAGCAGCAGCAATGGCTTTTGTATATTTCTAACAGCGGCTATTTGAAGGTGCTTGTGGACAGCTTGGTAGAAGATGACCATACTTTGCAGAGTTTACTCATTCCACAACCTCCCCTTTTAAAAGCCTTTTATACTTACGAATCCAAAATGGTAAGGCTTTATATTCATTGAAAGTTAAATAGCAGCTCATTTTCCACTTGGGGCTATGGATGTATTAAAGAGCATTAATGCTGCTTACATTTTGAATATATCTATCATGTGAATTGTAGACATATCTTAGGAGTTTTACATTGAGGAACGTGTGCTGGAAATGTATCTTCTAAGCATGCCAAAGTTGAGTTGAAGTGCGCCTGAGGGTTAGCTGGGTCATGGGACTGCCACTCACTTGCTTAGGTTGTTGGCAGTGGCCAGCGGTATGACACCCTGTGCTGTGTGAGGAGAGTAGTAAGCCACATTGTCCTTCCACAGCAAGATTCTGACTGCATCAGGTGCCTACTGAGCCTCCCAAGGTAGATGTGCTGGTTCTACTTTAAACCAGGATTTTCACTACAGTATGTAATCCATCTTTTCTTTTCCTCTAATTGTTTTAATTGTTTCTTCCTGATTAAAAATAACAGTGTCAAATAGTAATAGAAGCACGTCTTAGAGTCCTCATTCGTTTTTCCCTCCACTCACTCTGCAAGTATTTTATTAATGCCTTTTGTACACCAGGCATGGTGCTAGGTATGAGAGCTACAGCTGTTAGCGAAACGCTCCTCCCTGCCCTCCATTGCCCACACAACGACAGAAACTGTACTTTAGTTGACTACTTCAGTCATACAAGGCGTTGTGTACGGCACTTCAGATGCGCTGTGCCGTTTAATCCTCATAAAAATCATGTGAGAAGGGTGGTATAATGTGCCCCTTCACAGCTAGACGAGAATTTCTCTGATGATTAAAAGATCAGGAATATGCAGTAAGGGAGTCTCTCTTTTGATCAGCACAGGAGTTTTGACCTGCCCCGTTTCCGACCTGGGCCAGTTCACCCCTCCTTAGGCAACCTGGTGGTCCCCCGCTCCCGGGAGGTCACCATATTGATGCCGAACTTAGTGCGGACACCCGATCGGCATAGCGCACTACAGCCCAGAACTCCTGGGCTCAAGCGATCCTCCGGCCTCAGCCTCCCGAGTAGCTGGGACTGCAGGCGCGCGCCACCACGCCCGGCTGGGAGTCTCTCTTTTATCTGAGCCCCTTGGATATGATTTCTCTACTGATGATGTTCCTTTTGTAATTTCTTAGGCATTTCTCACAAGAGTGGCTAAGATACAGCAGGGCGCTTTAGAGCTGCTAAGGTCGGGGGTGATTGTGAGACTGGCACAGTGCCAAGTCTATGACATGCGCCCAGAAATGGACCCACAGGGGTAAGTGTCCATAAGGACTAGTTTGGTTAAGTTCCCCCTAAAGGACTATTAAGGAAAAAAGAAATTCCAAACAGTTTTGCCACTGGTTTATAATTCTGTTTGAGCAGTATTTTTTGATTTTGAAAATTTTTTTTACACCCCTGCCATTTACTAATAAATGGAAGTTGGGTAAAAGAGGGTAGGAACCTAATGCTTTTCATGTTAGAGCAGTAATAGAGGGAAATGGGAGAGCATTTTGTTAATAAATGTTTTTCTTCCCAACTTAATTGTTTTGTTCAGTTGAAATACATGTTTTAAGTTGTAATGGTCTTTTAAAGAATTGTAATTCTAATTTGTTGTGGATTTCCTTTTCCTGGCTTCAATAGTGTTCTGTGACTTGAATAGTATTTTATATTTTTCTCATTTTAACATTTTACCGTTTATGGTAAAACATTTTAACATTTCCACCTGTTTACTAATTTGAAAGCTTCAAGTCAATTTTTTTAAATTTCAAGCCTTTTAACAGATTTCCAAGTTCAGTCTGAAAATAGATTTTCTTTTTCCTTTTTCTGTTAGATCACAACTTTGTTAGGCAGATAGCATACTCTTCTAGCAGTAAAGAATACATCGGTCAGTTTTACTAATTTTCTTCGAAAGATCCATTGCCAAATTGAATATTTGAGTTTTTCAGGCTTACCTGTAGAATTGTTTAACCGCCCCCCCCAAAAAATTTTTTTATTGCTTACCAACGTTTTAAACATGAGAGTTATTGGGTAAAGAGGATTGAGTTAATTATATTACTCAGTTCATACCGTATTATTATCACTTGTCTGTGTAAAGCTTTTCTTCTACTTCCTTTTATTCCCATATTGGCAACCGTTTTCTTTTGTCAAAAATTTGAATATTTGCAGTAATAGTAGTTTATTAATACAGTGTTCTCAGACAATCTTAAAAGTTAGTGATTTTGCAAAACTTTTTAACTTTTTAAGTCTTGGTATTTTTTAATACAATTGACAATGTTATTTGATTTTTGACTTTGGGTATAGGAGAGGGAAATTTGGGGGAAGTAAACATTTTTTCTTTTTAATTGTTTCTTACACATAGTCTCTATGCCCATGGGGATATTTAGAATAAAATAAATAGGTTTAGTAAAGTCCAAGCATTGCCTTTTCAAATGGTGCATATTTTCTTTATGAAGATTTTTCAAAATTCAAGTAATTGTGTTTTTACTAATTGTATGGGATGCAGAGTGCCCATTAGTAACTTCACATCTTTATCTGCCACCTTTGATGGTTTGTCATGGAGATGGCAGGGTCTGGTAGAGTGTACCCTAATTGTTCAACTGTTTCTCTCCTTGTTCGGTGGAAATGAATGAAGCATGTTTATTAGCATGAGAGAGCCCCCCATGTTCATCCCTACGCCAGTGGACCGGTATCGTCAAATTCTCCTTCCGGCTCTCCGCTTATGCCAGGTCATCCTTACATCTAGTATGGCCCAGCACTTGCAAGCAGCAGGGCAGGTAAGGGGAGTACTTAATGTAGAAATTGTCTAGTGCAAAATCCTCATTTCACAAATGCAGAGACCCTAGGCATAGAAAGCATAAGTGAATTTACCTTCATTATACTGTTTGTGGCAGTCCTAGGTATTGAAAACAGTCCTCTGTACATTGTTTTGCATTTCATTGGCCCATTCTTTGTATTCTTGTTTGAATGAAACACCACAATTAATAGAACAGCGAAATGGAAAGTAAGAATATAATTTGTTCTTCTATAAGAGGAAGCAGTTACTGTGATATGAATAAGCTGGCTTCTAAAATGTTATTTTAAAGAGGTATTTTTTGAGAGGAGGCTATGTACTCTATTAGACCTTGCAGAAAATTACAAAAGATAGATGATAATGTCACATTTAGGGACTGAAATAATTTAAGTTCGTGAATTTTCTAGTATTTTTTTCTTTGAGCATCAGAAATTAGTTTTATTTTTGCTTTTCAGTGAAACCTTCAAAAAAAATCTTTGTTTTCTTAAACTAATAATATAATATGTAATTTAGCTTTTCAGGTGATTCATTAGGCTTATTATGAATTGCAATCTTTTATTGTATTGCTGTATTACTGTGACACCCTCAGAAACTATGTCCTCAGAATTTGTAGTAATTTTATCTGCTTTCCCTGCCGTCAGTCTTCAGGCTTATCTCAGCACCATAGAATGCTGCTGTTTCTTTGTGGCACTTTGTTTTTCCCTGCATTAGTCTAGGTGACATTCTGCCCCTCTCACTGGTGCTCAACTCATTAAAACTCAAGGACTCTTCTAGTCTTCCTTCCAGCTGAGATTAAGATTTTTTAGTGGAACATTGTGATAGAAGACGGTAGTTTTCCAATCCCAGTCTTGTAGTGACTATAGCAAAACTCCTTGAGGAGCTTTTAAAATTACAAATTACTGAGTTCTACATCAGCAATTATGGGCTAACGCCAGAAATTCAAAAAATTAAAGGGACGCAGTTCCTGAGTGATTGCGGTATTTGTCTTGTTTTTGGCATAGTCTCTCCCTCTAAGGCGTTTATAATCTAGTTGAAATGGCTTATGTGAAAATCATTAGTCCTTCGTGATGGTACACTACAAAATGCAAAGGTGGAAGGCTGCGTTTAGAGGTCAGGATTTTTCTCTCATTCACATTTAACATATCAAAAGGAGAATTAAACGAAAGCTTTTATGTAATTGTCCCCATGTCAGGCTAGTCAGACTTTCATAGAGCAATGTGAATACTCTAAGTCCTTTTTATACCCCTTCATTTTAAACTCACATTCTAGTTCTATTTGGACAAAAAAAAGAAAATGGGGTCAAGAAAGAGTTTTCATATAGTAATTCTAAGTTATATTGTACTCTTCTACAATAGCTTCTAAATATGTTAGTTTCTAAACTTTGCAATAATCCTTTAGCTTTCTAAGGAATTTTAGGTAAATGTTTGGTTCTTGAATAAACTATATAAATGCAAAAGACAATTGCTTATCTAATGTTACATCCATCATAATTCATTACATCAAATTACTTGCTTTAATGATATTAAAAAGATGAATTATAAATTTATAATGTAATTTCCTACTCTTCCACCTCTGTTCTTTCCATTTCTTGTCCTTCCCTTGTGCTTAGGTGTTGCAGTTTCTCATTGCGCATTCTGATACTATACAAGCTATCCTGCGCTGTCAGGATGTTAGCGCCGGGTCTTTGCAGGAATTGGCTCTGCTGACAGGAATCATAAGTAAAGCAGCACTTCCTGGTGAGTTGATTACATTGAATGGACTTGTAATAAATATTTACAGACTGACACACACTTAATCAAGTGAGGTTTTTATTTGCAGCTATGTATGACTTAATTAAAATTGTTGCTAAGAATTAACTGCTTTTTTTTCAAGTAATGAATTTATATTTATGAAAATGGTATCTGCTCATATAAAAACTTCAAAGAGTTCAAGAAAATAAATAACACTCAGAATCCTACTACCTAGAAATTACCAAATGTTAACACGTGGCAAATAGCTTTTCAGAAACTGTTCTATGTATATGTATATATGAAAGCAAGATAAATACAGAGAAACAGAGACATACAGGGGTAACTTACGAGAATGGAATTACTGTTTTTATGTAGTTTTAGAAAACAACTAATTTTACATGCACTTAACAGATAAAAAACGAATTGAAGAGAAATTAAAGACATTGCTGAATTCCAGACAGATGTTTCATCATTACAAGAGTATAAGAGATATTAGTTCTTAAAAGATCACTATGATTAAGAAGAAGAAAAGATTATGAAAAATTATTAAGAAAATTTGGTCATTTCTTTTTCATTTTAATTTATTACATGTATGTTTTAGACAGAATCCATTAACTCCTGATGTGAAAGATCAAATGACTTATAGTTCTTCCACCATCAGATTATGTTTGTATTATTTTTACTTTGTCAGTTTTTATAATATTTACATGCAATCCTGCAACCATACTCCTCAGCTGTTTAGGTATACTTGTATATTTACATGGATTCATTAAAAAAATAAACCGTTTTTTTTTCCTCTAAGGGCCTTGCTGTTCCTGTGTTACCTCTTGATATTTTTAGTTTGCATTGAGGTTCCATCTCCCAGGAAGAAGTATGTTACAGTCTCTGAATTCTCTAAAGCTTACAAACATCTAAAAATTGCCCTTATTCTTAAATGATAGCATAGCTGATTATGATTTCTTTCTCTGAAATTTGTAATATTAATGATAATAGCTCATATTTATCAAGCATTTATATGTCAAATACTGTTTTTTAGCATGTTAATTTATTTTAATCCTCATGACAATTTTATGAGGTAAAGCTATTACTACCCACATTTCATAGATGAGGAAACTGAGGCAGAGAGACATTAACTTGTCCAAAGTCACATAGACTATACTGGTAGTATAGTTTGCCAGCAGTATACCTTCTGGGCCTGTGTGCTTAAATCCTGTCTGTACTGCCTCCATCTTAATGTTGCTCTGGTGAAGTCTGAGGCCAACCCTGATTCCATCCCACCACCCTCAATACTTTTTCCTCTCCAGCGTGTCTCAGTGCTTGAGCTCTTTGTATTGGGAAAAAAAGAGGGCTTAGGAGAGCAGAGTGCAGTCCCTATTGAAGCACTTGGAGATGTGCTTCCACTCCATGCAGACATAGTGTTTCGCAGTTCTGTGGTTTTACTGTGCTCGTTTCCCCAATTCACCACGGTGTCCTTAGTACCAAGTCAGGCCATCCTTCTTGCTTCTACTAGGGTCCCATAGTGTTAAATGGCGCTTTTCCTCCTAACAGTGTTCCTTTGATTTCTCCAAGGCTTACCTGATTACTCTAATATGCTTCTCTGCAAATTGCAGAGTCTCTATGAGAATTTGCAAGACTGTGTTGGTTTATCTTCTTCTCACCATACTGCTTCTGAGGGATGGGGAAGGGTCATGAGCTAGATCATGCTGCTTAGGCCACCAGAATTTACTCTCCTTTTTTTTTTTTAGCCACCACCATTCTTCAGTGATTATGGCAAAGTTGGTCCCATTCCTTTTCTGTTGAATTTCATTTATTTTGTAGGTTGATGATAGGATGAACATTCTATGATATCACTTCATTCTGCCATCCCAACCCAAAAGCCTTGAATTTAGATATAAAGAAAATTTACCTTTTATCAAATCCTCTGACAAGGTGGTTTTATTGATGAAATCTCCTTACATTAATTTTTTTTAATGCATACAAATTCTTTATTTTGCTAATAGCAACATCTGATCCTGACAGTGTATTAAGATCATATTCTAAAAACACAATTTATTTTAACATGCTCATGATAAATTCAATCAAAAGGACAGAGTAAAAATACCCTGACCAGCAATTCCTGCTCTCTAAAAGGAGTCAGTTATCAGTTTAGTTTATTTTCCTAGAGATTTTTATACATGTGTGTATTCATAGATGAGGAAACTGAGGCAGAGAGACATTAACTTGTCCAAAGTCACATAGACTATACTGGTAGTATAGTTTGCCAGCAGTATACCTTCTGGGCCTGTGTGCTTAAATCCTGTCTGTACTGCCTCCATCTTAATGTTGCTCTGGTGAAGTCTGAGGCCAACCCTGATTCCATCCCACCACCCTCAATACTTTTTCCTCTCCAGCGTGTCTCAGTGCTTGAGCTCTTTGTATTGGGAAAAAAAGAGGGCTTAGGAGAGCAGAGTGCAGTCCCTATTGAAGCACTTGGAGATGTGCTTCCACTCCATGCAGACATAGTGTTTCGCAGTTCTGTGGTTTTACTGTGCTCGTTTCCCCAATTCACCACGGTGTCCTTAGTACCAAGTCAGGCCATCCTTCTTGCTTCTACTAGGGTCCCATAGTGTTAAATGGCGCTTTTCCTCCTAACAGTGTTCCTTTGATTTCTCCAAGGCTTACCTGATTACTCTAATATGCTTCTCTGCAAATTGCAGAGTCTCTATGAGAATTTGCAAGACTGTGTTGGTTTATCTTCTTCTCACCATACTGCTTCTGAGGGATGGGGAAGGGTCATGAGCTAGATCATGCTGCTTAGGCCACCAGAATTTACTCTCCTTTTTTTTTTTTAGCCACCACCATTCTTCAGTGATTATGGCAAAGTTGGTCCCATTCCTTTTCTGTTGAATTTCATTTATTTTGTAGGTTGATGATAGGATGAACATTCTATGATATCACTTCATTCTGCCATCCCAACCCAAAAGCCTTGAATTTAGATATAAAGAAAATTTACCTTTTATCAAATCCTCTGACAAGGTGGTTTTATTGATGAAATCTCCTTACATTAATTTTTTTTAATGCATACAAATTCTTTATTTTGCTAATAGCAACATCTGATCCTGACAGTGTATTAAGATCATATTCTAAAAACACAATTTATTTTAACATGCTCATGATAAATTCAATCAAAAGGACAGAGTAAAAATACCCTGACCAGCAATTCCTGCTCTCTAAAAGGAGTCAGTTATCAGTTTAGTTTATTTTCCTAGAGATTTTTATACATGTGTGTATTAACATTTCCTTTCCTATTCAAGTGAAATTGTTCCATACTCACTGCTTTGTTAACTTTTTGTCCCATTGTGTCTTGAGATCTTTTCTCATCAGCACATATAACTCCTACCTCATCTCTTTTATTGCCTACAAAGTTTTCTCATTGTGAGATAGTTAATCAGACCTCTGTTGTTTAACCAAACTCCTACAGCATACTATTACGATATTTTTTTAAATTTCTAACAGTGTGGCATTTAATAACTGTGTGTGTGTTTGTGTGTGTATACAGTACAGTTCTGTAGAATTGAGCTGGTAGGCTTGATAAATTCCTGGAAGTTATTGGTCAGAAATATATATACTTGAATTTTTTTAAAAAGGTAATGCCAAATATCCTCCCAATCAAAATTTTAAACAATTTTTAAAACCAGTTTTCACTCCCGTTAATCCTATTCTGCAGTGTTTAGCCCTTGGTTACACATTGTTTTGTATATGCAGGATTGTCAGTGGCATTTAACTGAAGATCTTACAGAAACTGAGAATTGGTGGTCTTTCTAAGTGGAGACAGCAGTTGATGTGCAGGCGGAGAAAAGAACTGGAATAACTACACATGTTGCTGAGATCAGAAAGTTTGAGGACAAAGAGGAAAAAGCCAAAGTCCCATGCAGTGTTAGGTGCAAAATCCAGTGTTCAAGTGGTTTAATTTAAGATGGGAAAGGAGGACATAACAATTATAAATATCAATGTAGAAAAAACGTTTCAAGAATTTGAGATTAACTAGGTTTTTGCTTGTTTTTGTTTTGTTTTGGAGTACAAGGGAAACCTGGACATATTTTCAAATAGTAAAGAAAAGTCCTCTGGCAGGGTATTTTAGTGTGCTGGAGAAGAACGTGATTCTGGGAGCAGACTTCCAGAGCAGGTGGAGGTGGGAAGAGTTGGGATCTAGTGGAGTAAGGAGGCAGGTGGCGTGTGACAAGCCAGCATGTTCCAGATGTAAGAGAATTTTCTGTAGGTTTAGGTTGGAGTCATGGGCTGAGAAATCTAGAAAGAGGAGGGCTTATTGTTATAAGGGACAAATGAGCAGATTGTGGATTACATACTGTGGAGCGTATGCTTATAAGTAAGAAGTGAATTAAAGGAATTGTGAAAAAATGAAGTTAGGGTTGCTGGGATAGGTGCAGGTGGGTTCTCAGCATGACTGCAGACATGGGACAGAGAAATCAGTGGGGGGAGAATGACCTGTGTGGGTTTGCTTAGAGGGCTCCACCAGAAATGAAAGGAGCTGTGGTGCGCTAAGAAGTTGGTCAGCCGGATTGAGGAATTTTGTAGTGGATCCAAACTGAGAGGTTGAATAGAATCTTTTTTGTGTCTATGCAAACGATGCTTTGTTTAAGGGGGAAAAAAATTAAGTGATAACTACCTAGAAGAGTTCAAAGAGAAAAGAAATGTGTTTCATTCTGGTGTTTCATATTCTAAACTCTTTGATGAAAAAGTAATTTAATGGTGACTTTAGAAAATTTTTACTTTTATGGTTATAAATAAAAAGTAGGTTTATCCTAAAACTTTAAAAAGTGCCTTGTAAAGTTATTAATTCAATCTAGATTTAGAGCACATGTGAATGAATGTATGTTGATGAACATGCAGTGTTTGTAAAGTCATATTTTTCAAAACTCCTTCTTGGCAAAGTCTATGTTTATGCACATAAAGAACATAAAATACCAGAACTGCTTTTCCTAGTTTTTTAATGTTTTTATTTCGTTAACTAAAAAACTACATTTAAAAGCATTCCAAATTTTGTAGGTATATTAAGTGAACTTGATGTTGATGTAAATGAAGGATCTCTAATGGAGCTACAGGGACATATTGGAAGATTCCAGGTAACTGATTCTTTTTTCTTTAAAGAGCAGCTGTAAGCCATATAATAAAATACAACAGTTCTCTCACCCCCCCTCAGTCTGTTCCCTGGAATTTGGACAAACACTTTCTATGGTTTCATTAGATCCTTTGGTGTCTCAAAATAATATGCTTAATATTGCTGCTACTTGATTTTCCAGTTTTGGGAATCTATTGACTTTCTATCAAGGAAGATGAGAATTTAGACCTCTTTATTCCTTTCCTTCCACCATACAATATTATGTACATTTCTCACAAATGCCCACCCCAACTCAACATAATTATATCATAATTTTGCAGATCGATAGTTAGTGTTACTTTTCTTACTGTGTAAATGTTATTTATCATTAAACCATGGTGATATGTTCCTTGTCTGTGTAACATTGTGTTTTCCCTACAGTAAATAATTGTTTCTTTTGTTATTTGCTTGGGTTTTATGTACTCATTTCTAATTTATTCTGAACTCTCCTCCAGTTGTATAATCTTTCAATACATTCAAACATATTGAGGTACCTTATTAATTAGATATTTTATCAGTCTTTCTGGGAACCTCCAGGCCTGCTTTGAACATCTTTTTATTGGCTGCAGAGTAATTCTATTTATAGTACAGTGTACTTGAGACAGTGATTTTCTTAACCATTTCTCTTTTCACAAATTGTTTTTGAAGACTCCAAAAGAAAAATGCCACCCTCAGCAATTTTGTGTGCAAATCTTTTAAAGTGTAGATTAAATAACGTAACTGGTATCCCTGAGTCAAAGGTTTACATGTAGGGTGTTCTGGATCACTGTCGAACAGTGCTCCAGAAAGGCTTGCACTCGTGCCAACAAAGCCTGGACACTTTGGGTTTTCTTCAGTCTTCTGGCTTTTTCCTTTGAATCTTCCATAAGGTGACCTCTGAAAATGTCTTTGTGCATCTGTTTTATCTCTAAGAGTAGCAAACAGCCAGTTACAAGTTTTAAAAACAGATACAACTATTTTGGCAAAATAAGTTCATGTTATAGTCTCCTTAATATGTTATGTCTTATCCAAACTAATTATGTAATTAACATCAGTTTAAATAGGATATATATGTGTGTGTATATGTGTACTTCACTTTCTGTGTGTGTATGCTACCAGTTTTTAAAGTGCATGTATTTATTGTCTACTTACTATGCAGAATACTTATGCTAAACACTTTAAATGTAATTCCATGTCTCAGGTAATCCTGACAACAATCTTAAAAGGTAGGAATTGCTGTTTTCACTCTAGAAATGTGAATATGGAGGCTTGAAGAAGTTAAGTAACTTGTTCCAGGTTTCACAGCAAAAAGTCATATACCTCCTGTTGGAACTCATGTCTCTGATTTCAAACCCATATACTAACCACTGGGTATACTGCCAATTTTGAAAAGCTTGTCCATTCCTTCTGAGAACATTAGGACTAATAGTACTCTCAGGTGAAAGATAATCAACATTTCAAGCAGTTGGCATTTGCGTTTCATCTGCCAACACTACCTGTGTGTTCACAACCCCTTTACCAAGTCCCCAGAAGCAACTGCAGGAATAATAGCTTTTAAATTTGAGCCTTTGTAGACAAAATTATCATGGACATGCCTGTCTTCTCTTACAAACTGTCTTCTCTTTGTCATCTTATTTCATCTCTGGTTGTTCATCAACTTGTGTTTATTTAATGGACATCTACAAAGGAATTATTTGGTGTGATGCAAAAAATTGCTTGGCAACACTAAGATTATAGTGGGATCAACTGCTGGAAAAAAATTGGAATTCTTTTAATGAGTTGACTGCCAAGCAAATAACATTTGCAAAAAGGTGAACTTTAACAGTGTTATCTTTAGTGACTCAGCTGGAGAAAGAATTCAGGTGCTCTAAAGAGTGATCCCATTCCCCACTGAGTTTTCCTTTTTTCTACACCCCCGCCTCCAAGAAAGAGGGCACCAATTTTAAGCATGTGCAATTAGGTATGAACAAGTATCTTTTTCTTTCTAGCGCCAGTGCTTAGGACTACTAAGTCGCTTTGGTGGCTCTGACAGACTGCGTCTGTTTAAATTTCAAGATGATAATGTGGAGGGAGATAGAGTGGGCAAGAAAGATGAGATAGAACTGGCTATGCAACAGGTAAGACTGTGTAACCATTCTTAAAGTTGTTTATGTCTTTAAAATATCTGATAAAAGTAACTGAAAAATTTTACATACTGATTTATAATTCTGTTATATTTTACAAATTGGTCTGTAACTGTTCTCCTTCAAGTCTGGATTTCTATGATACTAGGGCACTGGGGAGCTAAGTTCTTGTTACTGCTCTTCTTCCATTGTAGATTTGTGCCAATGTCATGGAATATTGCCAGGCACTCATGTTACAGAGTTCCCCTACCTTTCAACATGCCGTGTGCCTCTTCACCCCCAGCCTGTCAGAAACCGTTAATAGAGATGGACCCCGGCAAGGTGAGCCTATTCCTTCCTTTCTGTATTTGAGGATTTAAGCTGCTAGACAATGACAAGCTGGAGTTGGCCCCAGTAAGATGCAGTTTTTTCTTTACAAGTAGTTAATGGGAAAACTTTTAAATGATTGTAAGGAGTGGTGAGGAGGTACTATTGTCAGACCTGTGGATGGCTGGAAAGCTTGAGAGAATAGAGACAGTTAAGATTTTCTTAGGATAAATCTAGAAGAGCCTTGTGGGGAGAGTTGGACTTGAAACCCAAAAGAAAGGACCTACCTAGGAATAGAAAGTAAGCTAGCTGGGTGAAAAATATGAAACTGTAACAGGCAGGTTTGTGCATGTTATGCTGAACACCGTGTCTAAATTGAGTTTTGTATTATAGCTCTGAATTTCTGTTAACATAGCAAAGTAAAATTTAGATACTAAGTTAAGCCAACTTAGCCTATGATTTGCTTATGACACATTAGGGAAGATTTGGGATATGAGGCAGGATTATGGATTGATTAAATTACCCCATGGGACACTCAAAAGACAAGCCCATCTTGGGCTTGGTGGTGGTAATGGTGGACTGCTGGTGATTTCAAAAAGCCTTTTATTTTGGGATGTCTGGCATTTTGTCACATTTTCATCCTCTTCAAGATTTTATTTTCCCTGAAAATTGCTTACTCACATAAAATACATATTCAGTTGAATGAGATTCTGAAAAATACATTAGTGCAACAACATGTAATCTCTATTTTATGTAAATTGTGCTAAGAGCTCTATTTGTGTGTTACAAAATGTCCTAGCTAGTAGGATTAAAGATCTTAACTGCAGTATTATTTACATACAGTAAAATTCTCCCATCTTAGTAATACAGTGTGAATTATTTTGGTAATTAATGTATAGTGAGTATTACCATGATCAAAGTGTAGAATACATCTCTTCTCCTTAAAAAAGTTTCTTCTTGAGAAATCTTCTGCATCTGTGGATGTTTTATTGCCCTTGTCTAGCTTGGATTAATACTTAGTCTATAGGCACAGACCTGATCATCTACATTTGCCCTCTTACAGCACTAAGATTATGTTTTCTACCTTTATCTTGCATCCACCACTTCAGCATTTTATTAAAATAATAATAATAATAATAAGGGAGAAATGTGGGATTCACATATAAATCAAGTATAAAAATTAAACGAATAATCACATGATTTGATTGTTTATAGTTCATGATGCGTGATCAAAACCGAAAGTTTCTGTGATATGACTGCCCTTGCACTGTTCACCATGTAAGAACTTATTCACTATGTAAGAACTTGT